CCTGGAAAATGTGTCCCTGTCATAAGCCTTGGGACATCAAAATGTGTTACTAGCAAAAGGGATTTCAGACATGATTAAGGCCAAGGGTCTCAAGATGAGGGGATGTCCCTGGAGTCTGAATAGATCAGTCTAGTGGCATAAGTCTTCAGGACAGTGGAAGAGAAGGCAGGAGATGACCCGAGGGCTGAAGATAGCATCGCATCATGGTGGGAGGGCATATGGACTCACCCTTGATGGCTTTGATGACTAAACAGAGTGAGGAGTGGAGGCAGCCCTCAGCAGTTAGGGTGGCCTTCAGGCAACAGCCCTCACCTGGTAACAACCATATTTTCAGGACACCACATTTACTGCCTGGCCTTGCCAGCACCCTGCGCTGAGTCTTCTGAGGCCCACGCTAGGTAACTGTGAGAAAAAGCTGGTACTGTTTCAGTGGCAATGGATCCCTTCTATTTTTAGAACATTCTGGTTCACAGATGTCATAGAGAAGGTTCTAGAAGAGTTGCTCATGGAGCAGGATCAATGGTATAGAAACTCTTGGGTGAAGACAAATGAGTTACTAAGGAATTGGCATCTGAGAAAGCCCAGGGGACCCAGTGCAGACAGAGCACCTAGCCTGCAAGCAACGCAGAAGCTGCTGCCGAGCCCTTGGACACCCTGCTGGGCTGGTAGGTGGGCTTTGGTGGGCGGGACCAGGGACAGGCAGAGGACACCCTGCTGCAGAGCACGCTGGTCAGCAAAGTCCCTTCATCATACGGGGACAAGTTTGAAAGGGCAGGCTTACTCGTTCTTTAAACAAGAGCATCGAGAACTAGCGTGTACCAGGCACTAACCTCTGCGGAGGATGCAGCGTCAGGCAAACTCTCTGCTCACCCAGCGCTTGCATTCTGGTCTGAGAGTGAAGTCATACGCAAGAGAGCAAATCAACACAGGGATTGCTGTTAGTGTGTATTACAAAGACAACTAATGCCGCTTTCCATGATGGGCCACAACCAGGGTTAAAACCACGGTGGTTGGAGGAGTTGTGTTCTAGGTGGAAGGAGCGGCTGGTGCAAAGGACATGTGGTATGAGTGGCATGGTCATGGTGGGAGTGGTGAGGTCACAGCTGGGAGTGGTGCGGTCATGGTTGGGAGTGGCATCGCCATGGCGGTAGTGGTGTGGTCTGTTGTGTTAGGAGCGGCGGGGCTGCATCCCCAGCACCCGGCTGCCCTCACGGCTAGCTTTACCCGAAATAATTACACGGAAACTGTATTCCTTTAAACACGGCTTGGCCCATTATATCTAGCCTTTTCTCGGCTAACTCTCGCACCTGAACTAGCCCATTTCTAATAGTCTGTATAGCCCACGAGCTGGCTTACCAGGAATGATCTTAACCTGCGTCTGCCTGGAGTGGGAGAATCATGGCGACTCCTTGACTCAGCTTCTTTCTCCCAGCATTCTGTTCTGTTTACTCCACCCACCTACGTTTTAACCTATGAGGGCCAAGCAGTTTCTTTATTGCTTAACCAATGAAATCAACAGATAGAAAGATGACACTCCCACATCAGTGGTCATGTTGGAGTAGCGTGGTCATGTCATGTTGGAGTAGCGTGGTCATGTCATGTTGGAGTAGCGTGGTCATGTCGGAGTAGCGTGGTCATGTCATGTTGGAGTAGCGTGGTCATGTCATGTTGGAGTAGCGTGGTCATGTTGGAGTAGCGTGGTCATGTCATGTCGGAGTAGCGTGGTCATGTCATGTTGGAGTAGCGTGGTCATGTCGGAGTAGCGTGGTCATGTCATGTTGGAGTAGCGTGGTCATGTCATGTTGGAGTAGCGTGGTCATGTCATGTTGGAGTAGCGTGGTCATGTCGTGTTGGAGTAGCGTGGTCATGTTGGAGTAGCGTGGTCATGTCATGTCGGAGTAGCGTGGTCATGTCGGAGTAGCGTGGTCATGTCATGTTGGAGTAGCGTGGTCATGTCGGAGTAGCGTGGTCATGTCATGTTGGAGTAGCGTGGTCATGTCGGAGTAGCGTGGTCATGTCATGTCGGAGTAGCGTGGTCATGTCATGTTGGAGTAGCATGGTCATGTTGGAGTAGCGTGGTGGTCATGGTGGTAGTGACATGGTTATGGTGGTAGTGGTGTGGCCATGTCGGAGTGGTTTGGTCAAAGGAAAGTGTGCGCAGAGCCTGTGGAAGAGCAGGTGAAGGAAGAGTCTGGAGTGCCTTGGGGTCAGACTGCAGAGGTGCTCAGGAACCAGATCAGGGAACGGAACAGTGTGTGTGGGGTGCTGTTGGAAACCCATAATTAGTTAGACCTGGTGATGACCTGCAGACAGGCAGGTGAGGGCTGGGTGGGCTTCAGAGCAATGTCCATGTTCCTGCCGAATCGGCTGCAGGAGGGAGGGAAATAAGAGCTTGTCTTTCATGAGCCGAGACAGGACCTGGCTTGGGAAAGACTGACATTTCCTGAAATACTGTTTGCTCAACTGGAAAATGTCAACACAGGCTTTCTCCACATGCAAAGAAATTCAGTAATTAATGAGGACCCAGGGCAGGAACCAGACTGCAGAACAGGGCTATCTCCAGAGTGTGTGGGCCTGCTGCATTGAAGTAATTTTCTCACAATCAGGCCAGGCAACGAGGCAAGCACAGAGAAGCCGAGTGACTGGGCTAAGGTCACCGCTGGGGGTCTCTGACACCTCAACTCCCGAGTGGCAGAGCAGCGACTGGGGCCCAGGCTATCTGAGTACCAAGGCTGAGCTTGCGATCTGCATTCCAGATACTACGTCTTTCTGAGACAGTGGATGCATTTACATCTAACTACACAGCTGGATTAAACAGATGTTTGCCACCTTTGCCCCAATTAAAGCTTTCATCCAAGCTCCTAGTTCATGATAGACAGCAATTTTATTCTCCAGCGGACATTTTGCTTGTTACAGAAGGGACCAAATACCTGGCCACATAGAGATGGGAAAAGTTGTCTGTAGCTCTGGTTCGGGGGCACTGCAATCATGGTGACAAGAGCATGGGGTGACCTGTCACGTTTATAAAGCCACAAGGTGACTGCAGTCAGGAAGCAGAGAAGAGCTAGCGAGTGGGCCTGGTGTCACCTCGTAAAGGCTTTCAACCCTCCAGAAACGGCATCACCACATGGGGGCCAACGGTCCAATCACAGGAGGCTAAGGGCACACCTAAATCACCCACCAAGTATTCGAGGGCTCCAATCCCCAAAGAGCTTTTTAGCCCAAGCCAGGGCTTGGAGTTGTTAGTGTTGGAGAATATAGCCTTGAGAACGTACATACGCATGTGAATGGTAACACACAGCAGTGTGAGGGTGACCGAGCTCTGGTCTGTAGTGACAGAGTGTGGGGACCCTGGGAAGAGGCTTTCCAGTCATATCTTCTGTTCTGAAGCATGGGAAACAGGATTCACTCTCTAGGGGTCAAGGAAGGGACGGTGAGCTGCAAGAGCTGCGCGGGGGAAGGTAGATCTCATGAGGACCGGTCAGCCTTCAGGGGGTCACCAGGGCTGGAGGCCAGAAGACAGAGAGCACCATGTGGGTGGAGTCCTGTGGATGGGGAAGGCCTGTGTTTGAGGGCACCAAGTTGAGACTCTAGTGGGTGCGTGGTGTAAGGGGCGTGGTTCTTACAGTCAGGCCTGGGCAGGGTGAACTGCGAGAGTTCTCAAGGGTTAAGTTGTTTCCTCTTGATGGAAGTTCAGCAGGATAAAGCCAGGTCCTGGAGGGCTTGCACAACAAGGCCTGAGTGTGGTGAGGAGTGGAATGCCAGCAGCATCTCAAGGTGACATTTTGTCCATGTTTTGGGGCCATTGCTCAGTTGCGCTTGAAGATGGCAACATGGACCCCAGTGGGTGAGAGGTTTAAGTGGTCATTGCGGAAGTGGAGAAGGTGAGGTCAAGAACCAATTATCCAAGTGACCACCCCACCACTACAGACTTGGAAAGGAGGCACTGTGAGGCCAGTGTCTAGTCCTCTGGGGTTGTCTTCTGTATGGACAGCCAGGGACAAGGTCAGTGGAGGCTGTAAGCAAAAAACCTGGGAGTAAGACCATTGTGAAAGGGTGAGGACGATGGGCTGTTGTGGGCTAGAAGGCAGTGAAGGAACTAAACCAACAAGGGGCATGGTGGTGCTCGATGACCACACACAGCAAGTTGTCCTCCTCCTCTCCCTCCTCCCCTTTCTCCCCTCCTCTCTCTCCTCCTCTCCCTTCTCCTCTCCCTTCTCCTCTCCCTTCTCCTCTCCCTTCTCTCCCTCTTTCGCTCCCACCTCTCCCTCCTCTTCTCCCTCCTTCTCTCCCTCCTCTCCCTCCTCCTGTTCCTCCTTCTCTCCCTCCTCCTCTCCCTTCTTCTCTCCCTCCTCTCCTTCTTCCTCTTCCTCTCCCTCCTTCTCTCCCTCCTCTCCCTCCTCCTCTCCCTCCTCCTCTCCCTCATCTTCTCCCTCTGTTCTTTCTCATCCTCCTCTTTTCACCTTTTCCTCTCCCTCCTCCTCTCCCTCCTCCCTTCCTCCTCTTTCTCTTCCTCTCCTATCTCCTCTCCTTCCTCCTCTTTCTCCTCCTCTCCCTCCTCCTCTTCCTCTGCTCTTTCTCATCCTCCTCTTTTCTCCTTTTCCTCTTTCTCCTCTTCTTCCTCTTTCTCTTCCCCCTTTCCTTCCTTCTCTTCCTTCTTGTCTCCCTTCTCATCTTCTTCTCCTTCTCCCCAAAATGTCCATAGTGAGTTTTCCTTTCACAATAGACTGAACTGAATCAAGGGGCAGGAAAGGACTTGAGCATCCACATCAACTGATGTAACAAAATGGCAGGGCTAGAATCCAAGAAGCCACTGGGTCCTTCTGGAAGGCAGAGAACTTCCGGAGTGTAGTTTCCTTTGGAAATGGGAGGTCTGGGTGAGATGACCTCAGGAACCCATGCTGCAGGAGAAAAGAGTCAAGGAGGGGAAGATCCCTTCATCACAGGTAGGCAGTGATGCTGTTTTTTCCTAGAGGCCCTGAATCCCGCCTTCTCCAGTGCCTCTCTTTTCTCCGGGAAGTCCAGTGTCCCTGTGACCTTGGAAGAAGCTGCCCTAGACCGTCTATGCAGCTGGCATCCACAGCCCTGAGCCACCAGAGCGCGGAGAAGATGCAGGTGTACCTGACTCTTCTGCTCATCAGCTACTTGCTGACTCCCATTGGAGCTTCCATCTTGGGGCGCTGCGTAGTGGCTAAGAGGCTCCGTGATGGAGGCTTGAATTATTTTGAGGGCTACAGCCTTGAGAACTGTGAGTAGGACCCTTGCAGCCCGTCTCTCCTCGCCTCCTCGATCTCCGCTCTCCACCCTGCAACCCCTACCCTGCACCCGGCATCTTCTCACAACCCTTGCTGTTTCACCTCTTAGGGGTGTGCCTGGCTTATTTTGAGAGCAAGTTCAACCCCTCGGCTGTCTATGAGAACTCAAAAGCTGGCTACACTGGCTTTGGCCTCTTTCAGATCCGAGACAGCGACTGGTGTGATCATGGCAAGAACCTCTGCAGTGTGTCCTGCTCTGGTGGGTCCCTTCCTTTCCATCCCTCGGGGCGCTGGAGGCTGCAGAGCCTACGTGTTGGAGGGAACTGGCCTGGGATGTGTCTAAAGCTTTTCCCTAGGAGGTAGGGACCCTGACAGGGAATGCTGAGAAGGGCATGCTAGCCTGAGAAGAAAGAGTGACGGGACCAAGGCCAGACAGGCCCAGAAGGTGCTGGGAAGGCTGGGATGTTGGAAGCAGGAGCAAGCCGTAGAACCCACGCTGCTTGAGAGTGGGAAAAGATTGCTCTTTCTGGTCACCCATGCTGCAGCATTAGCTCCACAGGCGACCCATACTGTCACCATGACAGTCAGAGGTAGTTGTAGGGAGGAGACAGGTACTGGCTCCAAAGGGAGCATATCTGCCACCCTTAAAGGGACCTAAGAACCTGTGGCCTTGAGCAAGCAGCTGGCTAGGATCCACTCCTGTGCTCTGCGAGCTTCTAGGGACTTCGTTAGGTACTTCCCTGAGCCTGTGCAGGTATCAGTTCACTCAGTGCTCACAGCAGCCTCTCGGGAGCATGTATTGCTTCTCTTCCCATTCTATAAATGGGCAAACTGGGGCCCAGAAGCAGTGAGTCCACACCCAAGGCCACATGGCTGGTGAGTGGAGCTGGGGCAGACACAATTGAAGGGGCTCCTAAGTACCAAGAGGCCAGGCGTGGTCTCCCTAATATCAGGTGTTTCTGCAGCCGAGGGTCTAAGTGTTAGTCTCAGCACCCCCAGGCTTCATCAAAGAGAGAGCATCTCCCCCACCCTGGTCAATAGCGGTGGTCCAGGGCCTTCAGCTTCTGGTGGGCCTACACCCACACATCGGTCTCCACCCAGGCTGCACCAGAAGATCCAGAAGCCTCTGTTCCCTCTCCACGCTGCTCTCTAAAGTCCCAGATTGGAAACCACAGGCCTTGGGTCCCCTGCCTGTGTCTTCAATGGCCGGCTGCATGGGCCAGCAATGGGAAGTGAGGTTTTGTGGTAGAAAGGCATGCTAGCTGTCACCGAACGCCACGGCATCATTCGGATTCCTTCTCTTTGCAGCGTTATTGAACCCAAACTTAAAGGATACGATCGAATGTGCCAAGAAAATCGTGAAAGGAAAAGAAGGGATGGGCGCATGGTAAGTGGCATGTCCTTTGCAGCCTGTGCTGGAGGCTCAACAAGGCTGTTTGGGGCCCTTCTCTGGCTGTGACCAGGTTCCCGACAGAAGCAGCCGAGGGCAGGAAGAAACCCAATGCATCTGGTTCACAGTTTGAGGAGCTCAGGCTCTCGTGGCAGGGCAGTCGCGGTGGTGGGAGTGTGGGAGGTGGCCAGTCACGTGGTAGTCACACTCAGGAAGTAACAGGAGGTGAATTCCGGTTCTCAGCTTTATTTTCCTTTTGGTCAACCCAGGACCTTTAGTCCATGGGATGGTGCTGCCCACACTCAGAGTCCCTGCTCAGTGGAAGCTCCGTGGAGGTACTATTCTGAAGACATTTAGAGGCGTGTGCTCTCGGTGTGCTTAAGTGAGGGTGACAACGACGAGTCAACACCGTGGCTCACATTAATAACTGTGTGTGTGTGGTGTGTGGTGCATGTGTGGTGTGTGTCTATGTGCGTGTGTGTAGTATGTGTGGCGTGTGTATAGCATGTGTGTGATATAATGGTACGTATGTATGGTGTGTGTGGTGTCTGTAGTGTATGTGGTGTGTGTGTTATGAGTGTGTGGTATGTATGGTATATATGTGTGGTGTGTGTGTTATGTGTGTGTGGTATGTATGGTATGTATGTGTTGTGTGTGTGTTATGTGTGTGGTATGTATGGTATGTATGTGTGGTGTGTGTGGTATGTATGGTATGCATGTGTGGTGTGTGTGTGTGGTATATGGGGCTATGGGGTGTGTGTGTGTGTTTGTGTGTGTGTGTGTGTGTGTGTGTGTGTGCAATGCTAGAAGAGGCCATTGTGCTCCCTGGAGCTGGAGTTAGAGGCAATTGTGAGCTCTTGTGGTTGTAGGGAAATGGACTCTGGTCCAATGTATGTTTTAACTGCCAAGCCATCTCTCCAGCCCCTTCTTACTTATTTTTAATGCTTCCTTTATAAACCAGGGCTATTAAATGCTCATAATCACATCTGTGGGGGTTGTTTTCTTAGGATTGTCATTTGTGTTCTGACTGTTGACAGCATCTTCATCCTAGATGAGACCTAACAGTTTCTTAGAATCAAATCCCTCTGCCTTCTCTCTTGTGGCTTCTGGGTCTATGTAAACTCCATTCTTAGAAATGTCTTTAAGAACTGAGGAGACAGCTCAGATGGTACAGTACTTGCCTTGAGAGAACAAGGACCCAAGTTTGATCCTCAGAACCCATGTTTTAAAAAATGTTAAGTATGGTGACACACACTCGTAATCCCAGTGCTGGGAGGTGAAGGGTGGGTCTCTGGAACTCACTGGCCAGCCAGTTCCAGACCAATGGGAGACCCTGTCTCCAAAGACAAGGTGGACAATGACTGAGGAGCAACACTGCTTTTATCCCCTGATTTCCACGTGCATACATACACACACACGTGCACACCCACAGACATGTACTTCTGCACACTCGTGAAAATGCAGGTGCACAGGAATCTAAGGGATCTATAGCAGAAGCTTGACAAGAACTCCATACATGTTTTCTCAGTATCAGAACACTGCTGACACCAAGCAAGCCCTTGATTCTCTGGCTAAGTATTTTTACAATAGAATTTTTATGACTTTATCCTTTTAAGCTTAAATTTTGGATTCCTTTGTAATTAATTTTGATATCAAAGCAAGGTAGGTGCTATGGAGCTTTAACTCCTGCTAAGCCTGCTTATTGTTGCCAACATCATGAATCGGATTATGCGATTTCACTGCTAACAGAGCAGACTGCACCCAATGGTGGAATCTCCTTGTTAATGATAAGCGTCTCCCTTCATACGTGGTGTGGGTTTTCTGATTAATTGGCGAGCTCGGCTGAGCCTGGGATTAACGCTAATGAGTTGAAGTCATCTTTGTTGTGTGGCACCGTGGAGCAGTAAGCTGGGCCGCGCTGGCTGAGATGCCTTATTGTCCAGACTCCTGATAAGGCAGGCTCTAAGTAAGCTGACAGGCCGTGGATCTGCCACAGCTCGGACCGAGTCACCCTTCTGTGCCGTGTGAACAAGAGGAGAGACAATCCAAAGTCCTGGGGGCCGCCCCCCTCCACACCACCTGCCACTGAGCTGTGAAGAGCCATGGTATTTCTGGGAATGTGGATGTGTGTGTTTTCTGCTACTCCTTAGCTACAAGGGGCCAGGGATCATGGCCTAGTACGGTTTCCCCCTGCCGAAGATGAGCGGAGCCATGCAAGGCTGAGGAGCAGGAGTAGATGTGGTTGGGGACTTGGATCCAGATGTGGCCTTGCATTCAGGACTGGAATGCAAGGGGAAGGACCACTGGGGAATATGAGGAGATAAGGCTGAAGGATCAGTCAAATGCCAGGAAAAATGAAGAGGGAAGACGTTTTAGATGAAGTAGGTACACAGACAGGTGGAAGGAGTCCAGCGTTAGGACACAGCCGGGACCCTGGCCTAGGCGAACTCTCTGAAGCTCTTTCAGAGGAACACATCACAAGGCTGTGGTGCCCCAACTGGGTGGGGTTCCCGTGTGAAGCAAGGGTAGTGTGGGCACACTATGGAGTAAGCACCTACATCCACACCAGGTTGAGCACCAAAACCCACAAAAGCCTGAGGAAACGTGTCCACAGTGGGGAGACACAAATGTCCCAGGGCTAGGTATGAACTGTGTAGCTCTGAGGACCCCAAGCCCTGGCTCTAACGAGCCACCGCTGACCGTTCTCTGGCCTTCCGCTTGCAGGCCCGTCTGGTCCAGGAACTGCCAGTTGTCTGACACCCTGGAGAGGTGGCTGGACGGCTGTGATCTGTAGCCACCTGGGTGGACCTGCCCCACTTGCCGGCCATGCCTCGTGACCACGATGCTTTCCTGTTTGCTGCTTCGATCCATCCAGTTATCTCACCGCTCGAGAGTTCCGGATGGCAAAGGACAAGCGTCCACTTCATCTGGGGGGCGAGGTGCAGAATAAACCAGCTTGACCTGGCCAGAGGTCTTTGCTGGAACTGTTTCGTTTGAGCAATATGGCCGCCATCATTACTTACCACTGACATGACTTCCCATTTCTGATTCTTAGCGTGTGAAGGCAGGGACGTCAATCTTCAGCAGGGAAAGGAGGAAGAGACACGGTGGAAACTGAGAGGAGCCGCAGAAGCAGGGGTGAGGGGCTGGGAAAACAGGGCTGCTTTTCCATAGCCAGCTAGGCCGGCCTTAGAATCAGTTGGGAGACACAGCTCTGCATGGGCCTTCAAGGGGTTTCCAGATTGGATTAACCAAGGAAGGGAGACCCACACTGAGTGTGTTGGCACCATTCACAGTGAGTCCCAGGCTGAATAAGGGAAAAACAGGAGGGAAACCCTCTCCGGTCCACTGAGACATGAAGAGCCCCCACCTCACGGTCCCGTCATGTGGTGGACACTATACAATCAAACCCTCTTCTCAGGTCACCGTGATAAAGCAATGGACAACCTTCCCATTTCAACCCCAAGGGGGGTCCTCGCTGGAACCTACGTGGCAGGCCAGCAGAGCACAAGACACACATGCCCTTCCACCTGTATTTCTATAGAAATAACCAATGTCACTTATTCTTCTCTTAATGTTAAGTTTCTAGAGGTTAGAAATAGCACATATGCTAATACGAGCAACAGGCAGGCAGGTATTTACAGCTGTGACAATGTCAGGTCCTCCGTGATTTCAGCACTACCGCTCTCTTCTCTAACTATGCCTCTGTCGTAGTCAGTGTTCTGTGAAGACACACCACCATGACAACTCTGGTAAAGGAAAACATTTCACTGGTGCTGGCTATGGTTTCGGAGGCTTAGCTCATCGTCGTGGTGGTAAAGCAGGGTGCCACGCAGGCAGACACGGTAGCTGAGAGTTCTACATCCAGATCTGCTGGCAGCAGGAGGAGAGACACTAGCACCGGCTTGGACTTTTGCAATCGCAAAGCACACCCCCAGTGACATGATTCCTCCAAAAAGGCCACACCTAATTCCTCTCGAGTAGTAGTGCCACTCCCTGATGGCCAAACGTTCAAATCTGTGAGCCTACGGAGGTCATTCCCCTTCAAATCTGTGAGCCTACGGAGGTCATTCCCCTTCAAACTATAGCCTACGGAGGTCATTCCCCTTCAAATCTGTGAGCCTACGGAGGTCATTCCCCTTCAAACTATAGCCTATGGAGGTCACTCCCCTTCAAACTATAGCCTATGGAGGTCATTCCTCTTCAAACTATAGCCTACGGAGGTCATTCCCCTTCAAATCTGTGAGCCTACGGAGGTCATTCCCCTTCAAACTATAGCCTATGGAGGTCATTCCCCTTCAAATCTGTGAGCCTGTGGAGGTCATTCCCCTTCAAACTATAGCCTATGGAGATCACTCCCCTTCAAATCTGTGAGCCTATGGAGGTCATTCCTCTTCAAGTCACCACAACCTCCTTCCCATGGGTTTTTGTTGTGTTGTGTATTGTGTGTGTGTGTGTGTGTGTATTAGAGTTTTCTGTTTTCAACAATGCTATAGATAGGGTTCTGTGATTCACTTTTATAGAAAGAAAGCAAACCAGATGGGTGTGGTGGCCTCTAATAGTCCTGGTATCTGAAGGCTCGTAGAGAAAGATTGCTATGATTTGGAGGCTATCTTGGGCTCCGTAGAGAGATCTGGTCTCAAGATACAAACTGGCTGGGCTGTAGCTCAGTTTGTAAAGTGTTGGCTCGGCCTGCACAGAGCCTTGGGTAGAATCTCTACCACTGCATAAAACCAGATGTGGTGGCTCCTAATGGGAATCCCAGCGTGGCGGAGGTAGAGGCACGAGGGTCAGAGGCCAAGGTCAGTCTTTCTACATAATGGAGTTTAAGGCCAGCCTGTGCCATGTGAGATCCTGACTCAAACAGGCAAATGAAAAAACACAGTAAAACACGATTCCCCATGTTTATAACAATTTCATGCAGAAAGGGGTTTGTTTCCGAAGCACAGTGGCTTATTGAGTTCTTCTAGGTGGCAGTGCGTGTGAGACCTGGGGTTCTGGGATCCTGGGCTCATCTGGTGGAGATTTGGGCTTGGACCCTCAGAGATATCTGCGTAACTAAAGCCAAGTTACTGTGGGATCCAAGCCATCAGGAGCTTGGAAGACCCAAGGCAGAGGGGTTGAGGGGGGCATCAGCTTCAGCGTGACAGCCTTGGGCTGGTGAATGCTGCCCGTGTGAATGTGCACGGTTCATCTATCCTGCCCCCTACTGTTTGAGTTCTCGGTTTTGTCCCCTTTAAAACAGTACAGGTTTGACTGTGCCTGTTCTGGGCACCCCCTTTTGCAAGTTTAAAAATGACACAGAAGGTACCCGTTAGATGAAGAAAGCTGGGAATATAAATTAAAAGGTTATTGAAAATACCCCACCCCCACACACACACGCATAGTAAACAGGTTTACATTGCTGCACATTGGTCTGTAGCCCATGTTGAGAGAGCCTGGAGGTGTTGCTTTCCTGACTTTGGGGGTGCATACACACATGCCCTCATGTTTTTTCCACTTGTAAGCACTGGCCACTATTAAATATTCAGTATGGTATCTTGCTTTTCTGGTTAACAATTTGTAACTTGACATTTCCAGTCTACATCAGAATTTTAGTTCTGTTTTTAATGGCCTCCCCCTGTTCCATTTGATGGGCAATGTGCATAATCCTTCATTGCTATCCATTTAACCTACATATTAATTAAGCAGGCTGGGCAGACCACGGCCACCTCAAAGGCAGGCAGCATACAGCAGCCTGGCTTTTGTAGACAACCAGATGCTTGTTTTCCCTAGAGAAGCAGCAGCAAGTCAGAACTTTGGTCCAGGCAGGCTCAATGCTGATGGGCCGTCCTGGTCCTGTGCTTTTCACATGGCTGCCCCTTGTCCCTGGAAAGAAGACTGTTGCGTTTCCCTCAGACAGCATGATCCGCAAGGCCAACTGATGCCACTGACGCTGGTTCCTGGGTTCCATAGAAGCCTTTGAGACCTCGTGGGAAACTTTAGTGTTAAGCTTTGGACCTGGCACTGTTTCCAAGGGTGGGCTCAAGAGCGACAGGGGACCTGATCCCAACCCAACGCTGCTGCAGATGTCGGCGACCTTCGTGACAGCCTGAGATTGGCCATAACACTATCATCTCAAGAGGAAATCCAGCTGCCACCTCCTTCCAGCCCATTACTTCCAAGGCTGCCCACTGTTCCCTAATGGCCTCTGTGTCAACAAGGGTGTGAGGCTCAAGGACGAAGCAAATGTTAGGGTATTGATGGGAACGACGTTTCCCAACATCAGCATCTGGCTTGGTGCCCTCAAGTTCTCCGCCAGGTTCCCTGCCCTGGATTACCACCATCAAAGCTTAATGTCACTGACACAGAGCTCTGTCATTATGACTTCTAGTACCAACCGTTACGAGAACAATCCCAATTCACACACTGTGTGGGACTCTTCTGTCAACCACATCTCCCAACTTCTCAAAACCTTAGATGCTGGATATGAATTATAACCATCTTACAGGGGGCAAAGCAACCTCGGAGACGCCGGCTAACTTGGCTTTAGTCCAGTAGTGCTGGATATGGGTTGGGCATCTCCTTAGAACTCATGCCCCAATACCCCTCTCCCCAAACCCTGCAACTGTTATGGGTGCTAATTCTCTCTCTCCTCTCTCTCTTTGTGTGTGTGCATGTGTAGGTGTGTGCACAGGTGTGCATGTGAATGTTCACGAGGTGCACATGTGTGCCTGCTCATGGGATGTGCATGGAGAGGTTAGAGACAGCCTTGGGTACTGTTCTTGAGGCATGGTCATCCTTTTCTCTTAGAGGGTTTCTCACTAGCTTAGAACTTGTCACGTAGGCTAGGCTGCATAGCCACTTTGACCCCAGCTCCCAGTCAGAGCAGATGGTATCGTGGCACCATTTTGAAGGAAGATGTGAGTTCTACCTTTAGGTTTCACTGTCAACAGAGCAGATTGTCACTGTTTATGAGACACCCCATTTATGTGTCTACACCTTGAAAGTAAGAGCTCACGCAGCTTGGAAGTGCTCATGGCTCACGGTGGCTCCCTGGGGCAGCCTCCACTCACAGTGATGACTGGGTGTCAGCCCTAGAGATCAGCCGAGTCCGAGTCCCCTGCACAGAAGCCAGGCTCTGAGTGGAGGCACTGTATTTCTTATTATTTCTCTTCGCTGCTTATAGAGTAGTCTGAACTGAGATGCACAAATTTCTTTGTATGAGATCCATACTGGGTGGTTTATGAAATTTATGTCATGAAATCCATCACCAGTTCCATGTGAAGCAGTTATTTGGAGCCCAGCATTTCCCAACCTGGGGCAGAGTATTTAATCTAAGTCTCACTTACTCAATCCGTAAAATGAGAATCATAGTCACAACCTCCCATTTGGGTGAAGCGCTCCCGAGACTTCTGTCTTGTCAATTTGACTGGATTTAGAACCACCTAGAAGACACAGCTCTGGGCATGTCTGTGAGGGTGTTTCTAGAGAGGTTAACTGCCCTGTGTGAAGGCTGCACTATCCCACAAGCTGCAGTCCAGAACTGAACAGACAGGACGGGGAAGCAGTGAGCACAGTGTTCCTTCCTCCCTGCTTCTGGTTCCTCAAGAAGTGAGGTGAGGTATCAGCGAGAGCCATGCCTGCCGCCCTGCCCACCCCACCACCATGGGCTGCACCGTCAAACCATGAGCCCAAACAAACCTTCCTACTGTGAGTTTCCATCAGGTGTGTGGTCACAACGACGGGGAAATTAGCACAGTGAGGGAAAAGGAGACTTCAGAGACAGGACAACACAGGGACCTCATGGGCACACTAGAAGAACCACGGGTGGGTGGGATGGGGAGTCATGTGCCTGTGGCTGCAGAGATAGGAGTGGTCCCCTCTTGGGCAGACTGGAAGAGGGGGAGAGTGTACAGAAAGGTTGAAAGTCCAATGAATCAAGGCTCCTGGATTCTCACCCCCGAATGGAAAATAGTGCTTTCCTGACTGCTGATGGGGGCTTCTTACCGAGCAACAGAAGGCGCACACACCCATGCTTGTTCGCAGTACTTCATAGCTGTGACTTCCTGGGCACCTGCTGTGGTCAGACTCCAAATACACCCTTTGGCAATACGATCGTTCCACGATACCAAGGCCTCCCCAGAATCCGTGTGCTTTGGGAACTCAGCTCCCAAAGCAGCAGAGATGAGAGGTGGGGCCTTGTAGAGGCTCTGTTGCTGTGAATGGACAGGGGCTTTCCCTGAAAGTGGGTGTGTGGTGAAAGCAAGCTCTCCTCCGTTTCCACAATGTCCTCTTGCACCCCTTCCTTCTCAGTGAGAAGGTTCTGGGCAGGCTGAGCTTCCCTCCCAATAAATCCCTACAGGTTGAAACACCACATCTCAAGCATTCTGTCGGAGCAGAGGAAACAGGATGAGCTGTCTTCAAAAGCAGAGGGCTTTGAATGGAAAATGTCCCCACGCTTGGTCTTCAGCTGGCTGTGCTCTTCTGGGAGTTGTTGGGAATGATACCAGAGGCCTTAACTGGGGGAGGTAGGTCTCTCAGAGGGTCTTTTGGGAAGTTCCAAAGAATCCCTTCCTCTATCCATCACGAGGCGGGTGGCCCCTACCACATGTTCTCCCCTGCCGTGGTATTCGGCCTCACTGTGAATCTGTAACTGATGGCGCCTCACGCTATGGGCTGACACCCCGAAACCGTAAACCTAAATGATCCCCCCTTAAATTGCATTTGTCAAGAATTCTGTCCCAGTGACGTGGCAGCTTGATGAACATGACGTCATGAATCAACTGGGAAGACACGGGTTCAGAGTTCTGACAACAGAGTCCACACAGCTAGCAGGTTGTGAGGGGAGACCTGAGGCTCAGGTCTCTCCATGCCTCCTCCCCATCCCTTTTCCCCAGACCTCCCGCAGAGACAGAGAAGATCAAAATCTCTTCCCTGCCAGGAAGAGGATTCATATACCCGAAAAGAGGAAAACAAAACAAAACTGTGCAAACCCAGGGAGAAACCAGTTTAATTAAGTTAATTTGTTAAGGACTTGTAGTGAGGGACATTTAAATTAGTACAGTTCGTTTTCTTTAATTATTCATTTTTCCCCACTGAGTTATAGAAGCTCATACTCTAAAGAACAGAACGGGGTTAGCTGTGGAAATCAGAACCTCTTCATTCCCCTCCTCTCAGGAAAACAACAGCCCCCATTTGACTCTTCTGCAGCTGCAGAAGGAGCTTGTTTCCAGCTGCAGCCGTCAGCTTGGTTAGATTAACAAGAGTAGAGGCTGGAGAGATGGCAGCGGTTAAGAGCACACACTGCTCTTGCAGAGGGACGGTCTGAGCTTGGTTCTCAGCATCCACATCGGATGCCTTGCCTCACACTGGGCCACTTGCAACTGCCTGTACCTCCAGCTCCAGGGGATCTGACGGCCTCTTCTGGCCTCCTAGGGCTCCTGTGCTTATATACATGCCCACATAATATATACACATAAATATAGTCTACACAGAAGCACCGAAGTCCTTAATGAGAATGTTTCTCAGTGACTCTGCAGCCACTTGGCCTGAGCATTAATTGAGCAGGAAAGAATTTCCCCAGACGTGAGTGGCACCATCCCATGAAAGGAGTAAAAGGAGGAGAGGAAGCCCGCTCAACACTCGCACCCCCTTTCTCTGCTTCTTGACCCCCGTGTATGCATCTGCCACCTGTTCCCCATGTCACACGTCTCCTGCCCTGCCCCTGAGCTAGAATAGCCCTTCATGGCTCAGGTAACAGCTATGACAGGAGAAACTACAACAGTTGGGAACAGATGTCACTTGAAGAACCTCCTGTCTCTCTCCAGGGGACTGAACATCCCCTTAGGGTGCCCACATCAGATTTTTCTTTTACTTTTTACTTGGAGAAATCTTCTTGGTGCCTCTGGCCCTCAGGTCTGCACTGTATCCTTTCCTTGCCCATGCCTGCCATGCTAGAGATGTCCTCTGTCCCATACCAGAGGCGACCTTTGTCCCCATGCTCTCACCCTCTGTTTCCAGATCTTGTGTCTTGTTCCTTCTGGGTTGGCTTTCTCGTGTTTATTTATTTTTTGTTTTCTTTTTGGTTTTTGAGACAGGGCATTTCAAAATATGTATCCCTGGCTATCCTAGAACTTGCTTTGTAGACCAGGATGGTGTAACTGGAGGTTTCTCTCCTGCCCTCCAGTTCCCGAATAACCATTATGAGGCTTAATATTAGTTGAAAACTGTTTGGCCTATTAGCTCAGGCTTATTATTAACTAGCTTTTACATCTTAAATTAATCCATCTCTATTAGTTTATATTTTATCATGAATGAGGCACACATCTTGCTGCTGGCATCTCCCTGACTCTGCCTTCTTTCTCCCTGTCTCTCTGCTTGGATTTCCCTGCTAGCTGAATTCTGACCTGCCATAGGCCAAAGAGTAAAACATACTCACAGTACACAGAAGGGTGCCCCACACCAAGATGGTCTTGAGCTTACAGAGATCCTCTTGTCTCTGCCTCCCAGCTGGTGAGACTAAAGGCGTGTGGCATGTGATTTCCTTGCACTTAGGGATGGTGGTGACTGCCTATAACCCCACTGTGCTCCCTTTTCTTTGAGTTCACATAGTTTGATAGAAACAAATTAATAATTAAAGGAAAAAAACTGCACCAATATACCTTTTCTGCAATAATGCTTAACAAACCAACCTAATTAAATCTCCCTCTCGGGATTTGTGTGATCTCTTTTTAAGTAAATCAATTCTGCTTCCTATCAAGGAAAAGATACTGAACAGTGGACAAGAGCATCACTAGTTCCAAGCCAGACTGAGAGACAGTGAATAGAAGGTCAGTATGAATTTACATAATGAGAGAAAACTCTGTGAGACAGGGAACAGGGACTATGGCTCACTGACAGAGCACTTGCTCGGTGTGTACAAAGCCCAGAGTTCAAACTCCACTGCCACATAAGTAACCAGGTGACAGTACCATTGTCCTGTAGCATGAGGGCCTGAGTGTTGGGGTTTCTGTCCTGCCCAGTTCCGACAGCCGGCAAGTCCCAAAGAAATCTCAGAGAGTCTGCATTAGATATAAACCCATTGGCTTATTGGCTCAGGCTTTGTATTAGCTCTTATAACTTATATAGCCCATATTCTTATCTATGTTAGCCACGTGGCTCGGTACCTTTTTCAGCGGGGTGGATCACATCTTGCTTCTTAGGTGGTTGAGACAGGACTGCAAAAAGAGCTTCCTTCTTCCCAGAATTCTCCTGTTCTCATCGCCCTACCTCTACTTCCTGTCTGGTTGACCCGCCTATACTTCCTGCCTGGCAAATCAGTGTTTATTTAAAACATGATTGACAGAATACAGACAATTCTCCCACACCATTGTCCTAAGTTATTTCTAGCATCCCCCGGTTCAGAGAAGCCTGGCTAGGACTTCCGAAGTAGGCGAGCACGTCTGGCTTTACAGTGGGGAAGAGGGCTGGGTCTAGACTTTGAGCCCTTTAACTCTCAGCCACACTGTCAGATACAATTGCTGTTAGCGTCCTGGAGCCCCTGTAGGCTCCAAGGGGTAATTCAGGCTGCATCTGGGTGACAGCTACCAGCAAGCAGAGAGGTAGCTTGTCATTTTCCCAGTGTCGTTATCACCACGCCTTTTCCCTAAACATCTATGGATTAAAAAGGTTTCTTTATGGCTCAATGGTTAAAAAAAAAAAAACTACTCTTTCAAAGGTTCCAGGTTTGATCCCAGCACCCACTTGGTAGCTCACAACCATCTGTAACTACAGTTCCAGAAAATCCAGAGGCCTCTTCAGGCCTCCGTGGGCACTACATGGCAGTGCACGTGTTAGGTTTCAAACCTGGACTAATGGCTGAGGTGGCTATATAACATTTTAAAGTGGATGCCAACCACCAGGTTCTCCCAGCATCCCTCAGTCTCTATCTGTTACACAGCCTCCCTGGCTGGAAGACCCCACCCCCCACCCTAAACTTCTCCAATAATCCAACCATTTTGGTTGTTTGCTTTCTTTGAACCTTTGGGCCTCCTGGTTGCTGCACCTGGTTTCTCCTCCTCTCCCCTCTCCCCACTCCCTCCCCTGCTCCTCACATGCACCCTGCTCAGGTACTGTCCCCTCGGGACTTTCCCAGCTGTCCCTGCCTCTCACACATATCTGCAGTGAACTTTCTCCTAACAATACCTAGACCCAGTCATGTTTTCTTTCCTTTTTATTTCTTTTTTCCATTCAGTACATAGACATACATGCAGGCCAAACACGCACACACAGAACATTTTTAAAAAATGAAAGCCTTTTTCATGACAGGTTGATTAAAGATGAGTATGACATGTAACCTTGAGAAGAATGAAAGCCTCATACATGATGATCTGTGGACAGCCATGTCCACTCTGAACCAAGATACTATGTCTGTAATGACACACGTATGTGCGCGTGCACACACATGAGTCCCGTACTGCTGGGATAATATGTCTTAACAGTAGACTAGGGAATCTCTTTCTAGAACTGTTGTGCTGCGGAAGAGAGACAGCAGGATATGGCACAGCCCAAGCCACAGAAGCTAGTCATAAATATTACCACCTAGCACTGTCAACTGGAGCCTTGGGACTCTCAGCACTGGGCATCACACCCAAACACTTGACATGACTCACGTACATGTGAGTCATGTATATGATTCAGATGGAGTTGGGTCTGGATGAACGCTTTCATCTTTCTGTTGCTGTTTTCTTTTTTAATTAGGTCTGTATTGATATTTCTTTTTCCCCCTAGAATCTAATGGGCCCAGTCTATTTTGCTACATTTAACACTTGGACAGTTTCAAGTGCTTGTTAGAAAACAATGTGGTCCCGTAGACTCTCCCTTTCCCCATAGAAAGCTCTGTTTTCTTCTCAGGACCTTTTGGCAACTTTGTGCCATTTCAGATTTTCTTCTAGAACATTCCAACTTACCTCATTAGTGAAATCTTGCCCCTTTCAGGTTTGCCGCCATTTTAATGTTGACTTTTTTCTTCTAACTTCATTGGCTTTGGCACTCTACGGAGTCTGTAAGGAATAGAGCCTGGCTCATCCCTTCATTATATTGAAATGGAATTCTGAAAAGATTTGCAGGCTTAATTAATCCCTATGAAGGAAAGCTTCTTTACATGGCTTAATATTAGATGGAAATCTGGCAGAGACAGACCTGGGCTGCACTCGGGGTAGGGATGTGTAAAAGGAAAGGGGCCGGGAAGCACTATGTAAATCAGAAGATCCCAGCACTACTCATTATATCAGTGAGAACACTCTGAGCGTTCTCCCAAAATGGGGCATCCATGTCCGTGTATCCAGGCAGGGGCTGCAAGAACAACCCTGGGGAATGTGATCAGCAACAGCAGCTGCAAGTGATGTCTGTAAGAAAACCCAGCCAGCCAGCTCCATAGTGAACCTTAGGGCTCTCAAGAAAATCCACCCAGGGTCTTGGGGTTCCCAGGTGGCTTCTCAATGTCCCTTTCAGATGCTGATACACAATGACTGGCATTTGTTGCTGCCTCCCAGGTCTGTGGGCCACCTGATCGGAGGTGTGCTCATCAGGATGTTGGCTGGAAGTTGGGTTCTGGTCTGCTACAAGGAACAAAGTTCTTCCCATAACAAAGGCAGGTAGGTCAGCCAATCACCACATGTGTGTATTGAACAACGGCCAGCCATTCACATGTGTGTATTCAAGCCACTGTCTGTGCCACCCCTGCTGATATCCCATCGACCAGAGTCAGCAACATGGCAGGATACAGAGCTGAGGGTGGAGCAGTTCATGGGTGAAATACGGCCAAGACTAGTCACGTGGACAATCTAGGGTTTGCACCCAGTTGCTCCTGATGTGAAGGTGTTGTAGCAATGACAGCAGACAGAGAGAGCACGACAAATGCTCTTTTTCACAGTTCTGGAGATGGGCACTGGGAAGCTGGTGTCTGCTGGAGGCTTCTGGGCTTTCTGAGAATCCTCTTCTTGCTGAGTCCTCTCATGGCTGGTTTGTGTGTGCTCACCCGAGTGCACCCGAGGGAGCTGGTTAGTGGAGAAGGGAGAGAGAATTCATGTGGCAGGGTGTGTGCTCGCCAACTGCAATACAGCCTGGAGAAACTGGAGAGGGAAGAGAGAGTTCACATGGCAGATTGTGTGTGCTCATCCACTGCAAAATACCCTAGAGAGCTAGAAACAGAGCTAGGAGAGAGAGAGAGAGAGAGAGAGAGAGAGAGAGAGAGAGAGAGAGAGAGAGAGAGAGAGGAGAACTCATATGGCAGGGTATGTGTGTTCACCCGGCACAGTACAGCTGAGGGAGACAAAGAGGGGAAGGAGAGGAGAGGGAACCAGAGTTCACCTTTGTGCTTCCGGTGACTAATCCCATCATAGGTGCTTCGCCTTCATTGTCTAAGTAAACCCTAGAGAGACTCTCTTTCCAAATACCATCACATGGATATTAGAGAGTGAAATCTGGAAGAACACAGAGACTGGATCCATAGCACATCCTGAGTGGGCCAAACTGGTCTCTCTCTGAAGAGTTGAGGATTTTGCAATGAGGAACACAGGACAGAAGGCAGGAGCAGTGAATCCTTTTGACTGGCATGAAAGGGAAACCTTCTGGAATTCATCATATACCATGTGACTAGAAATAAATCAAGAAGTGAAGAGCGCTACCAGGAACCTCCAACAACTCATAAACACCTTCAGTAAAGAGGCAGGATACAGGGTTAACTCAAAGAAATCAGTAGCCCTCCTTTACACTGATAATAAATGGTCTGAGAAATAAATCAGAGAAACATCACCTTTCATAATAGCCACAAATAGCATAAAATATCTCAAAGTAACTCTAACCAAACAAGTGGAAGACCTGTATGACAAGAATTTTAAAGCTTTGAAAAAAATTGAAAAAGACCCTGGAAAATGGAAAGATCTCTCATGCTCTTGGGTAGGTAGACTTAACACACCAAAAATGGCAATCTTACCAAAAGCAATCTACAGATTCAGTTGCAATGCCCACCAAAATCCCAGCAAAATTCTTCAAAGACCTCAAAAAAGCAGTATTTAACTAAATATGGAAAAGTAAAAAACCCAAGGTAGCAAAAACAAGCCTGTACAATAAAGAAGCTTCTGGAGGCATCACAATCCCCCACTCTTCTATAGAGCTACAGTACTGAAAAAGCCTGGTGTTGACATAAGAACAGACAGGAGGACCAATGGAACCAAATAGATGACCTGGATATCAATCCACACACCCATGAACACCTGATTTTTGACAAAGAATGAAAAACTATAAGATGAAAAAAAAGAAAACATATTCAACAAATGGTCATGGCATAACTGACTACCAGCATGTAGAAGAATGCAAATAGATCTGTAATCTGTTGCCATGCACAAAACTCAAGTCCAAATGGATCAAAGACCTCAACATAAAACCAACCACAATGAATCTCATAGAAGAGAAAGTGGGAACTACACTTGAATGCAGTGACACAGGAGATCACTTCTAAATATAATCCCAGCAACACAGACACTGAGAGAAACAATTAATGAATGAGACCTCCTGAAACTGAAAAGCTTCTGTAAAGCAAATGACATGCTCAACAAGACAAAACAGCAGCCTACAGAATGGGAAGAGTTCTTCACCAACCTCACATTGGACAGATGGCTGATATACAAAATATACAAATAACTCAAGAAATTAGTTACCCAAAGAAGAAACAATCCAATAAAAATGGGGTACAGAGAATTCTCAACAGATGAATCTAAAATGGCCAAAAGTCACTTAAAAAGATGCTCAAAATTCTTAGCCATCAGAGAAATGAAAATAGAAATAACTGAGATTCCATCTTACACCTATCAGAATAGCCAAGATCAAAAACACTGATGACAGTTTATGCTGGATAGGATGTGGAGTAAAATGAACACTCCTCCATTGCTGTTGGGAGTGCAAACTGGTACCGCTGCTTTAGAAATCAGTATGGCAATTTCTCAGAAAATTAGAAAACAACCTACATCAAGACTCAGCAATACCACTTGGGTATATATCCACAAGATGCTCAATCATACCACAAGGACATGTGCTCAACTATGTTCATAGCAGCATTGTTTGTCATAGCCAGAACCTGGAAACAACCTAAATGCCCTCGACCAAAGAATGGATAAAGAAAATGTGGTACATTTACACAATAGAGTACTACACAATGGAAAAAAATAATGATATCTTGAAATTTGCAGGCAAATGGATGAATATAGAAAACATCATATTGAGTGGGGTAGTCCAGCCATAAAGACAAATATAATATGTACTCACTCATAAGTGGCTTTTAGGTAAAAAGCAAAGAAAAACCAGCCTACAATTCACAATCCCATAAAACCTAGAAAACAAAGAAGACCCTAAGAGAGACATACATGGATCTAATCTACATGGGAAGTTGGAAAAGACAAGATCTGAGTAAATTGGGAGCATGGGGACCATGGGAGAGGGTAGAAGGGGAGTGGGGAGGAAGACAGGGGAGTGGAGAAAAATGTGTAATTCAATAAAAACAATAATAGAAAATAATAATAAATATATGGGCTGGTGAGATCACCCAGCAGGTAAAGGCATTTGCCCTAGGGATGAGTGTGATCCCTGGGGCCCCATACAGCAGAAAGAAGAGAAAACAGACTCCTAAAGTTGTCCCTTGACTTCCACAGGCACACTGTGGCATGCATGTGAACACACACACCACACTCCACAGGCATCTCACACATTCACACACACACCACCACACACACATACATCACACACCACACCACAGGCATACCACACATGCATACATCTCTCTCTCTCTTACACACACACACACCCTGCACCACACACACATACATCACACACCACACCACAAGCATACCACACACGCATACATTTCTCTCTCTATGTGTCTCTGTCTCTGTTTCTGTCTCTCTCTCATACACACACCCTACACCACACACACACACACACAATTACACACCACACCACAGGCATACCACATATGCATACACCTCTCTCTCTCTCTCTCTCTCTCTCTCTCTCTCTCTCTCTCACACACACACACACACACACACACACACACACACACACACCACTCTACACCACTCCACACCACAGGTATACCATACATGCACACATCTCTCTCACACACACATGTACATCACATGCATCACATACACACACATTGGGAAAACAGGGTCTTTGAGAGATAGCTCGGTGATTAAGCAAACTTGTTGCTCTTGTATAGGACCCAGGTTTGATTCTATGGCAGCTCACAACTGCCTGAAAGTCCAGTTTCAGGGAATCTGACTCTTGTCCAGCCTCTGTGGGAACCTACATGTATGTAGTACACATATAAAAAAGCAGGTAAACATACATACACATAAAATAATATTATTTAAATCTTTTTATTAAGTCAAGTGGTGACGGCAGACTATGTATATTTTTTCAGCAAGATGCCCTTATGCTAAGCCCGTGGGGCCTTAGGGCATCAGGCATTTGAGTTTGGCTAAATTTCAGAGTTCTTCACTGCCTCTGCATGAGTTATCATGACAAACACACATGGCCCCTGGAATTGATGCTTTATGGAGCCCAAGGCACCGCTGCTTCTGCACCAATCCCAATACCAGCTTCCGGGATGCTGGGACTCCACCCCCACCAACAGAGTATCTTCCAAGTCTTGTGTGGCTCAGTCACCCATGTGAACAAGCTCATATGGGTGGGTTTCTTTCTACACCCCTCCCCCCTGGCCCTTACCCATCTCTGATAGATCTAAGGGAGAATGCAATCATAAAAGCCAACTGGAGCTGAGTCAGCACAGCAGAGAGGGGACCTGTTGTAGGAGCTGCGGGCTGTGTTCCTGCCGCCCCAGCTCCTGGTCGCTTGGCTAGCTTATGCCCTGAAATAACAACACACAAATTATATTCTTTTAAACACTGCTTGGCCCATTATATCTAGCCTCTTCTTGGCTAACTCTTGCACCTGGACTAGCCCATTTCTAATAATGGTGCACCCCAAGGTGCGCTTACCGGGAAGATTCTAGCCTACGTCCATCCTGGGTCAGAGTTTCATCGTGTTGCGTCTGCCTGGGAGAGGGGAGCCTGGCCTCTGTCTGAGGTGTCTTACCTCACTTCCTCTTCCTCCCAGCATTCTGTTCTGTTTACTCCACCCACCTATGTTTTAACCTATGAGGGCCAAGCAGTTTCTTTATTATAATTAACCAATGACCTTCCTCCATCAGGGACCAGCAAATGTGAGGTCCCCCTCCAGCCGCTCTAGCTGGCCTTGCTGAACTTGTGGGGTTCAACAGAATTTACCTAATAAACATACCTCTTTCTTCAAACTGGCCTGGATAGGATTTTTTTTCATTTGCCTTCCAAAGAAACCCAATATAATAGGGCTGGGAAGATGGCTCAGTCAATAAAATGCTTGCTTCACAAACATGAGGACATGTTTCAATTCCCAGAACCATAGAAAAATGTGTGGCTGTGCACACTTGTAATCACAGGCCTGAGGAGGCAGACCAGGCAGGGCCTGTGCTTGCTGGACAGACTGCCTAGCCCACTTGGTGAGCTCCTGACAAGTGAGGGGCCCTGTATCGAAAAACAGAATGAGTGCTGGAGAGACTGCTCAGTGGTTAAGAGCAGCTACTAACCTGGGTGCAATTTCCAGCACCTATGTTCACCAGCTCTCAACAGTGTGGAACTCCAGCTCCAGGGGATCTGACACCCTCTTTTAGCCTGCATAGTATTGGTAATTGTAACTTAGACACACACACACACACACACACACACACACACACAAATATTAAAGTAGAAAACCTCACACTGGTTGGTATACATGCATGCTCTTGCACATGTATGAACACACACAAAGAGATCTAATATTTTTTTTTTACCAGCAAATGACTTGCCGTAAGGACATACTATGTCTAGTGGAGTCTCAGTGCACCCCATTCTACCCCCTGCCTCTTGAACCTCACACTTGCCACTGGAGGCCAGCCTGCCCTGGGAGACGGCTATGCAGCTCCAGGATCCTCCAGCCCTTCACCATCTCATTTACATTCCTAACGCAATTGCTAGGCATGATACACAGGGAGCCATGGCCAAAACTGCCCAAGATTTATTCTATTCCATAGTACGGGAGATTGGGGGTATTTTTTATACATCCTTACTGTCACTGAACAATTCAATACGCCATTGTCTAGGCAACAAAATTCTCCTCAATTAGATTTTAAAACTAATATGGCAAAGAACTTTCCCCCTTCCTTTCCAATGATATTAGGTAAGTAAGTCCTGACTGAGAGCTTACTGATGCTTCTCTTTTGTGGCAGTTCCACGTCCTGCTGTGTGTGTGTGTGTGTGTGTGTGTGTGTGTGTGTGTGTGTGTTCAAGGGCATGCCTTTGGGAATATCAGAGG